ACGCGCAGCCCGCTACAGGACTCCTGAATCCTTGTAGAGGTAGAAGCGTGGTCCTTTGCGTTCAGTATGTCAACTGGCAGACATAGGAATGCGTGGATTATTCATTGGCAATGTGGAGAGGCAGACATTCGGAGGACACTCGCTGTGGTAGAGCTCTCTGTCTCTATCTCTCCCCTCCTCTTCTCCAAACGATGCTCAGAAGCAAGAGCGCGCCACCTCGGAGCGCCGTGAACGCGCATCCATCCATGACCAATCGCGTGTGAGGAATAAATTACAACCCGTTTTGGAGACATACAGCTATTTTTTCCCAACTCAATCTGTACTACTATGCAATGCAGTGATATGCTGGTTCTGGAAGATAGATTACAGTAGGGCAGACTTTAAGTATATCAATATTTAAATAAAGGTCAAGAAGGTGACAAAATGCAACACAGATTTCATTTCCCTTTTCTCTGAGGAAGGGTGAAAAATTGTTTTTAATATGTAGCCCAACAAACAGTTCTGTTGACATTCTTAAGTTGGTAAAATTTCCATAATTTCAATGATTTAACTCTCCTAGAGAAGAAGAATCACTGAGGAAATGCTTGCAAAACTACAACTGAAACAGATTTTTTTTTTTCCTTTAAAGGTAAATCAGCAATAAATTTTAGGGTCAGAGAGCTGCTTTATTGAAATATCATATGATAACTTTTATACAATACAGTTTTGAACCCAAAGAAAACAGATTAGCATTTACAGTATTTCATTAAAATGACAAGTAATGGGTATGTACAGAAGGAGAAAATGAGTTTTCCCACTTGCATAAGATACTTGAATTCTAAAGTAGTATTTAGCTGACATTTCCATGAAATTGTCAGACACTGGCTGCAAGAAAACACAGTGGATTAACTATGAGTTGCTGGGATTTATTGCATCCAAATAGAAAATATCTCAGTTTCTCTGTGATGCTGCAGCATTATTGTTACAGTAATGCAATAATAGCACAGCTTTGTAAAGATAGGTTACTAAGCCAGCCATTGATAGAGGTTGCAGCCTTGGGGCCTACTGAGTTAACTGAAGACCATATTTCATCTTCACTTTGATTTATTTTCCTTGTCCTCGTATTGTCTGTTATTTATATGTGTAAATTCCTCTCATTCAGCTCGAGAACTTAAATGCCAGTTGAGTTTTTGGCCATTTTCATTAGACTGCACCTGCACTTGTAAGGGACTACATTACTTTTTTTTTGATTAGGTTAAGTTAAAATATCAGTCTGCGCTGCAGAACACTAATAGAGCCCTCCACTGGCCATGAAATAGATAGACTGGACAACAAAGTGTACTATACTTGTCAGTGGATTTAGGTTGTGTGGAAGACAGGAATCTGAGCCATTCAACACAACATGCAGAGTCCCCGCGGGTTTACTTTTTGGGCCCCTCTGTGCTACATTTAGTCAAAATCCTGCTGTTTCAGGTATATTTAAGATTTAGAGAAACACATTCATGTTTTTATCACATCAATGTAGACTTTAGCAATGATCCCTTGTTTGGGTTTTCCAACAAACCAATGGACCCCTGAAGAGCCGTTCAGGGTACTGCTGTAAGAGCCATTCTTACATGTTCATACTGGCTTCCACTTAGTTTTTGAGCAGATTTTAAAGTGCTCATTGAAAGTCTTAATGGCTTAAGGCCAAAATACATCTTTGATATGCTTTAAGAATAGAAACCCAGTAGGCCCCTTAGATTTTTAGGACACAGTCAGCTAGAAGTGCCTTGAGTCAAAGCCAAGCACCATGCTGGGTTTAACTGCTATGCCATACATAAAATGAAGCAACTCCTCAATTATCCTAAACCTAGACCTCTTTGACTGATTTTATTCTTCGCTGCACTTTGATTTCCATTTCTTGTATTTGGGCTGCTGTGAAGGTATAATATTTTTATATATACCAATATTTCATGCTCATGATGATGCCATCCATCCATCCATCATCCCTTACTCAGATACATCTTAATGCTCCCCTGTGTGCAGGACTAATGTTACAGCCATTATACTCAAGAATGAACCTCAAAGATCATATTCAGGTCATTCAAATTCAAATGTGCTCCTTGAAGGTCAGTCATAGTTTTTACAGAATACCACCGAATAGAGGCCCATAGAAAAGCCACTGATTGTAAAAGCCCATGTCCAATAAAGCCAGGGTTATAGTCAATAATACACAATTAAATGTGCCAAAGAGGTTTTGTTGGCTATAATCTTTTGGTACAGTTAGCTGAGAGACAGTGAAAAGACATGCCAAAAGAACTTGAGCTTTATTTTGAACTGAACCTTCTATGTCACACCGTGTTAAAAACAAAATAGCTCTGCAGAATGTCAGATTTAGCTGTCTCAGACAGTTGGAAAATGTTTCTAGGCTGCTATGATAGTATAGCTATTGTGTGACTAACATTTACACTTAGCACGTTTGGATACAATGAAGTAGGTGCACCATCGATAACTGTTTGGATGATATGCCTACGATACAGTCTCATAGACCATTAGTCCTAATTTGTGGCCTGTTCTTTTACAGATCAGTTTGAAAATGTTGTATATATTTACTAAGTTTACCACTTTTTACTAAGTTTGTAACTGTGATTTCCAAAGGATGAACTGTGCACATAGCCTACAGTATGCCCTATATCAGTGAACGGTCCCTTTAAGTGGCTTGCTTCAAAACTTCAATTCCCAGAATGCATTGATATAGTCCTCAAACTAAAAACGCGGAAACTAAAAAAAAAAAAAAAAAAATCACTTGTTCAAAACAAATATCACGGTGTCGGGGTAGTTGTAGTTGGCTATCAAAGTTAAATTAACACCGTAGCTTCCCTTTTCCTCAAAGATTTGCATGGCTTTGAAAATAATACCTACAGAAGGTAAGAATATTTGTTTTTTCCTAATTTATTTAATGCAACTTTACAGGAAGCCTGTAGCGATACGGAAATGTTAGCCAGTCAGTCCTTCAATAGCATATTTGCTAACCTAACGCCATTAGTTGTTGAATTAATTTGTAAATGATTTAGCTAACTTTCATCCCAAAATAGAGTATTGGTAGCAAGTTTAATCGGATATATAAGTGATTATTGGAGGGGGTACCCCTCTGAACCGTGTATGCCTATGTTTGTCAGATTGAAAATGGTCACATTTCAGATTTTGTATTTTATAGACCCTAATTTAAAGCAATGCCTTTCCAGTTGCATTTTTATTTAAATTGGGTCATTGAGAATTAACTTAGTTGTTGAAAGTCATATTTAGTTCAGTTGAAACGTGTGTGCATACTGATTGTCTATTTTTAAGTTTTATTAATTATATGTTAAATAGAAGCCAAAGAATTTGAGTTAAAAACTTTAATTCAGCCAACTAGAAACTCATTCTGCTCTTGTTTTCTTTTTAGGTACAACAGCCAGAGAACAGACACCAAACTCTGCATTGTGAAGGCAGCAATACAACAGTGAGGCATCCCTGACCACCTAAAAGTGATGACCGTACGTTTCAACTGTTCATCCACACTGGTTCTAGTTGAGTTGTTTTATATGCGTGAAGCATTTTCTCTGTTCAGTCTTTACTTGTCTTAACAGCTTGTCTGCCCCCCCCCCGACATTGACATTATTATTTTTAGAGGTGGCAAGACATCATGGTTTATATTGTACAAGGTTGTACTGAATTTATTTAATGTTGTTTTGCATTAAAAGCATTCACCAAAAACTGAATTATAGTTCATTTCTTAGTTATACACAAATCAAATCAAATGATTAACTACCTTGCTCGGGCATAAAATGTTAGGTTCAATGCATCTTTTACAGTATAAACAAACAAATCAGAGGCTTCTGTTGTTGACATGACCACTAGGTGGTAGCATTTGCTTTTTACTGCTCAGGTTTTGGCCAGTTGAATATTCATGTTTTGTTATATTTATTTCACCCCATTTGCTACATGGTTATTTATGTACATACTGGCTATTACAGTGTCTTGCTTCAGCAATGAAATAAAATTTAAAAGAGATGTTCTGTCAGTTTAAATTAGCCCACTTTTGATCACCAGTGTGATGCTGAATCTGGTGTACACACATCGTCTAGTGACACCTTTAGAGGTGTATATGATAGAATGCAAACACACTGTAAAAAACAGACACTTTTTATTCCTGCAGCATTTATAGTGATGCATTTTAATCTTGGCTACTGGGTTTAAGGGGTGCATGTGATAGTGTGATATCCCAATAAAAACTCAGATTTTGGCCCTCAGTTTTTCAACTTGCCAGATGAAAAACATACAGCTGTCATTGCTGAAAGGCAAATAAAACATGTTAGATAATTAGGTGAATGCTTTACCGTGACAGATTCAAATTTCAAGTTGAGGCGAAGCACGCAAATGTCAGCTGGACTCTGTTTTTGGAAATACAGTGGATTTATCAACAGTAGTGAGATACATGGAAATGTTTTGCCAGATATATAGATGGTGGATATATATCCCTAATGAGCAAGTGGATAACAAGGGCATATATCACTGGAAACTGTCATTAATCATTTTCTGGTCACAGCAGCAACTGGAAGGTACTTGAAAGTTTTCTGTCCTATACAAGACTTGGTTCAGTAACCATTAAAATGAGCTACCTCTTGATTTGGTATTACTTTGTTCTGCATTTGCACATATACATCTTTGTTCTCTAGTTAGCAGCCCTCTTTTTGAGAGCGCTACATTGTTTTGGTTTCCATTTCCTGTATTGCTTCCTTTTACCCACTCTCAGGATATGTAATGTTTCCTCTATAAGCCAATAAATTGGTTTCATGGGGCATTATCATAAACTGCAATCTAGATTGAAAGAAATGCTCATTTATGTTGTGCTTTTGTGGTAATACATTGACTTGTAATTTAATTTTCATCTCATATGTACTGTGACTATAATGCGCTTTCAGATTCCCATAAATGAGACGAATGCTGTGCACTCACGTGTCACAGAAAAGCGCAAAGGGGATCAAGTGAGTGAACCCAGGGGGAGGTATATGCTCAAAAAAGTGTTTCTGGGAGGAGTCCTGTTTTTTGCAGGATGACACGTGAAACTTTCTCAAGGAGTTGGCTGGGATGTGTGTGGTGTGCAGTGTGGCACTCGACAGACAACGCAGTGGCAGCTGGAGAAGTTGCTGTGCAGCGCCATGGCTGCCCAGTGTGACACTTTAAGCGGATACTTGCAGCAGTCGGACCAGGGCTCCAACAGCGAGCGGAGCACCGACTCTCCTCTCCCCGGATCAGAGGAGGACCTGAGCGGATCCCATCCGCTGCCAGATCCGGAGTGGACCGAGGAGAGGTTTCGAGTGGACCGTAAGAAGCTGGAAGTCATGTTATTAGGTAAAAAATGGCCTAAGTACAAAAGTAGTGAAATATTTAAGTACTGCCACTAAATAGTGCATTTTGTCCTCGTTTCATTTAAATGTTTCCTGTCGTTTCCGAGAAGCTGCAAATTTGAGCAGCCCGACGCCCCTTTGTTTATCTTGGACGCATAAAAGTGCACTTTTGGTACGTATTTATTATATTCAGTACCACAAAACTTAAGAATTGCTTGTAAACATGGTCAGGCAACTTGAACTCGTTATGTGCGTGCTCAGGGAAATAACCAATTAGGGAAATTAGGTCCGAATCACGTGTGTTTGTCAATTAGTATCACCACGATAAACTACTTGGAGATGACGCTTTGTTGACCACTGGAGCAAGTCACTGAGTTTATAGCTAAGCCCGTGCATGCTGCTTTAAAGTAGGTTTGAACAAAAGGTCCAAGTTAAGTTTGAGATGTAGCCTGTCCGACGTGTTGTGGAGGTACAGTAGTAATCTCAGGAGGCAGTAACGTGCCACGACCACAAGCTGTCGCTATACAAATTCCCATGGCGTCCTTTTGTTTGTAGACTAATGTTAAATTGACCAGATCTTGCCGTTAACTTACAGTTAAACAGTCCCCACACAGAAACAATTGATGCAATAGCCTTGGCTTACTTTAACATGCTATGAAAAGGAACTGGAAATGGATAAATAACCATAGAAAGAAACTGATATACAAGTAAGGTAGTGAGAGTTTGCATTAGAAAATTACATAAAATCCATTTTGATCACTGTCATCGATGCATTATGTCTCAAAACTTGGCACCAGATCTGTGTTGTACACTGCATGTTTTGTTTTGATGGCAAAATTGATTCAGTGTGTGAGCTGACAATGACGGTCTCATAAAGAGAAGCCAGCATAGTCTGTTGAGAAGTCCCTAGAAACTCAGACAGCTTCATATTTAACAGGCATTTCAAAAGGAGAGTGTGAAATGTATAACATTAGGTGAGGGGGCTGGATTCCACAGGAAGACAGTAAGTCAGAGCTGCCAGAACATTTTCAGTCATGATCCTATACTGTACAGTATTAGAACAAGCATGATATGAAGTGTGTCCACGGTGAGTATAGCTTTAGGTTTTATCACCGTAACTTGGGGAAAGCTGGTAATCAGTAATGTTTATGTTGTGCTTTGAATTTGTGACCAACTCTTTGCATAATCCTCAGCAGCAGCTAGTTGACATGCGGATGCCCCTGCTGCTGCCTCGCTCCTCAGTACATTCCCTAAAGCTCCATGTCATCCCTAACTCTTCCAGGAAAACTTAACCAGAGGCTGGCCCGGACATACCACGTGCCTCGTCGTGCAGTGTGCCTAAATATATCTGTATATGTCAGAATCTACTGAGTCTTTACAGTTTGTTAGTTTGGTTTCGCATCCCTGCCATCACCTTGTTTCCCAATTGCTGCGTCATGACATCATGGCTAACATTGCTCATGTTGACACTGCAGCTGGGATGTAGAACAAAAATGCTGTGCTCCACTGTCTCCTGGTCTTTCTGGTCTGTTGTACTATAGATTCAAGTTTGAATACCACTCAACTGTGAAACCACTTTAACCTATGGCCTCTGGCCTTCAGGAAGAATCCAGGGTGTCTGGTTGCTTCCTGTGTAGCTTGGTTAATAGATATTACAGTTCTAGCATCTGTTTAAACTAATAGTCATGATCTAGATCTGTTTCAACTCACTGTAGGTTTTCATCTCCTTTTTACTTTGTAGGTATAAATTCAGATCCTAACAGATCCTAATAAATAGCTTTGTAACATCTGGCCATGTTTTGCTTGGATAAGCTGTAGATTTTGACATGGCACATCATGTATTGAAGACCAGAGTCTGGACTAGAATGAAACAATTTTATGGGAACTACAGTATATTTTTACTTGCTGTATTATTGTGTGTGACGATACCTCTGGCTTCTCATTTTTGGAAAATTAAATGTGCTTGACCCTCTGCAATCTGCCACATGTTGAATCATAACTGTGATTACTTCCCAAACAACATATCTCAGCTTTACTGGATCTGGGCAACATGTCTGCACTAATTTCCACTTTGGAGACTTCAGTGACCATCTAGATACCTCTTCCAAGGTGGAGGTAATGTTTTTAAAGGTGTTTGCTAGGTATTTGGTGGTTGGTTACTTTGTTCACTGCATAGTCTAACTCAAAAAGTAATGAAAGGATTTGGATGAATTTTTTGGAGAGCTAGGGTATGCCCGACAAAACAGTCAGATTTTGGTGCAGAGATGGGAGATGGAGCCAAGTCCTAGTCTTCAGTCATGACACTGGCAAAAAACCCTTACGACATGACACAAGACACTTGATGCAGCTGCGGCACACATTTCTTAATTTTCTGATTATGTTCTGTTCACTGGCTTGTTGGTAGGAGCGGAGAGGTCCAGGTCGTACCTACCAGCCGGGCTTTTTATCTTTGTGCCCAAATTTAGCTTCCTGTATTCTAAATTTACTCCCCCAGAGAGAGAGTGAGCAGCAGTGGTCAAGTGAGCTAGTGTATCAGTGAAGAAAGGCAGCAGTGCTGTCAAAACAAAGCAGCAAATCGCAGAATTATTTTTTGATTGTTTCACGGTGGTTATATTAAGCACGCACCTTCGCACAACCCTGCGAGAAGGATTTATGCAGTTAAAGCACAGGCTTCATCCTCCTGTCTGCCCTGCACCCTGTGTGTGCGGCTAAGCCTCGTACTCACTCAGACACACACAAAACACTCGTAGCATGATGGTCAGACTGTCATGGGAATATTGCTTTTAGGTGTAATGGCGTTATGGGGAAAATGTGCTGCCTTGGTGGAGGTTTGTGCTCCCTGAGTGCTGTCTACACTGGGGACTTGACACTACTCAGACTTGAGGTTTAGTGACTCAACTGCAATACTCTGACATAGTCTGTATAAAATAAATGAGACTGACCCAGAAAAACTCCGTGCCCATTAAAAGAGCTTAGTGACTCAGCAGCATGTTTCTGTACTGGAGTAAAATCCCAGCATTCACAATAAAAACTTTCTTTTTTCTTTTTAAGATCAGCCAAATTTCACTCTACCGTTCTGGTGCAGTTTGCATGAGGAGAAAATGGAAATTACCCTGGCAATGACATGGGTCCCTGGGCTTAGATCAGTGCAAAGAGTGTAATGTGATAACAAAATCTCACCCTGACAGCTGTCTGGGTTTACTGCTGCACTGTTGGCACCCTACAATAGAAATAATAGGTTAATGGCTTAGGACTGTGGCACAGGCCTGAAAGCCTGAAAGGTAGTTTTATGTGTAGAAGGAACAGCATAAGAGAACTGTTGTACTTTTACTATACATTCATTATAAAGTTAAAAGATCAAGCACAAGAGGTAACATTTTCTCTATTGTTGGTTACACAGATGTAGTGCAACAAGTTTTTCCATGGCTTCTAAAGCGTACACTGCTGATATATTCTGTGTATGGGTTAATTTGAGAAGCTCTTGCTCTGGGTTTCTTTGTTCAGACTAGTAATGGTGAGATTTTAGTGGTGTTTGTGACTGTGCATAGCCTTCTGGTGGACCAGTGTGTGTGTGTGTGTGTGTGTGTGTGTGTGCGCACGCACACAATTGTAACAACATGTTTGCTGAGTAACTGCGACAACAACCTACAATTAGGCTAAGTGAATCATTTTCTTCATTTAACTAATTTGTTTTCCTGTTCTAAACCACAGACTGTTACTGGGTAGCTTTGTCTCAGAATGAAAAACTGTTGTATACGGCAAAGAGAAATACAAGGTATTCCCAGGTATTTTGAGTGATAATTTTTAATATTATTCAGTACATCACCTAATAGTCCCTGTGTAGAAGATTGGAGCAGCTGTAGCTGTGAGGTGGAGCAGGTTGTCCCCTAACTGCATGCTTGGTGGTTCGATCCCCGCCTTCTCCTGTTCACATGACGAAGTGTTCTTGGGCAAGACACTGAACCCCAGGTTGCTTCCGGTGGCTGTATGGCAACTCTGTGCCCATCAGTGTCTGTAAGTATTGTAAAGTGCTACTGTAGAAAAGCACTATGTAAGTGTAGTTTACTCAGTCTAATGCTAGGATGCTGTATTGTATGTTGAAAAGTTTTCTCACATACAAGTTAATTCGTAGGCCACAGGTGATGCGCAAAATAAGAATATATTATTTTGGAGGGCAGTGGAAGCACTTCCTCTGAAAAGGGAAGCTAGCCCTCTAGTGAAAATGTGATTATTACATTGTCATTAGTTTTGTCTTCAGTAAATGGCTTCCACACCCACATAATCAGGGGAGTGTGTCTGAGGACCCCATCCTCCTCTTCTGCCTGGGTGCTGGGTAAGACTCACAGACAGGAAGTGAGTGTCTTGTCGGGAATGCGTTGCAGACTTTCTCTTCTTTCTCTCGTTCTCCCACTCTTGCTCCCTCTTGAGCATTCAAACACTGCTTTCTTGTTCCAGCTTCCATCAGATCCTCTGTGGAGCTGTTGAACCTTTCTGGGTCTTTATCTTCACACTACAACACAGTCTTCACACAACCTTTTAACTTAGACAAACACAGACAAAATGTTTTTGAAAGCACTCCTGCTCTATGCCATGTAACGCCATTATATTTGACTAGTCTAAAGTGAAAGTGAAGATGGAGAAGTAAGGATCTTGGATAGACTGCCCTTTGGAAACTATGCAGTAAAGAGTGGAAACAGTACACGCAGCCAGCACAAGAGAGGAAACCCCTTCTTAGATGTCTAGATGTGAAAATCTGTTATTCCCTCCGATGACTTGTCAGTTGTGGGTATTGTGATGTTGAAAACAGATTGACTGGATTCTGTGCAAAATGTGTGTTTTTGTTAAGACTGTGAAAGCAGCATTTGGTCTCGCCATGTAGTTGTGAACCACATTAAGAGCAGTTGCCACTTCCCATTCATTTGAACAAAGTAGAGGTGCATTCACTTTGAGACTTCTCTGCTTCTGTCAGGAATAGTTTCTGCCTCATTTACCTCACACAGAGTT